GGGGTACGGATTGGTTTCCGAGGTGTAGCGATTAGGTCCTTCGTTGATGCACGCAAGAGACCCAAGTTCGATTCTCGGGTGGAAAGAAAATCTACTGACTGTCTCGGTCCTTCTGCTGGGATGTTTGTGTATCCTTCTCAGCCCCGGTTGGCTCTGACAGGCAGGGTCGGAGGCTTACCTTCGACATTACCTTATTTATGTCGATGTGAGCGTAGTAAATGTGCGGCAGCGCGGTGGAATCAGGCTCTCGCCAATATTTGGGCTTATTGGGTTATTGGTACCATCTAAAAGCTTGTTCACTAGTCTTTATTTGGATGAAAAAAGTATCTATTTATCTTGAATAGAAGTCGAGATATTTGTGAATGAAGGAGGTCGGGGTTACCTTTTTCTAGAGGTAAAATTAGTGAGAAAATGTCCGCCAAAGATTAATTATTTCCTTATAGCTTAAGAGTCCGTGGTAACTGAAAATTTACATTTTGGTGCCTTTAATCAACGTTTTAAATTTAAAAAATCCACACAGTTATGAGTTATTTAATGGGCTTGAAAGGTGTTGAGCCAAAAAAACAAAAATTTGATAAAAATTCACAAACCTGCGGAAAAATGCAAGTTTTTTTTCACTTTGAATATTTTGACGAGAGCCTGATTCCACCGCGCTGCCTCACAAATGGCCTACATAAAGAATTATCGAGTATATCGGTTCTTCTGTAGGGATTTTATTTTATCCCTCTCAGTATGGGTTGGCTCGGGGAAACAGGGTCGCAAGCCTGGCTCTTAAATTATCTAAATTGTTTCAATGGAGACCTAAAATGCCTACATTTAAACAAAAACTACAAGGGGGAGCGGGGTGTAGTTGGGAGGTGATTTTTTTAGGAGGGGGTAGAGAAGAGAGAAAAGGAGGGAACCCCTCCAGTTGAACGTATGTCTATTACCTATCCCAGGCTGACAGTCCAGCTCCTGGTTGGTCCTACTTCCTTACTTTCCATCTTTTGATTTTGTGGCTAAAACAGCACCTGGACATGGATGGCTGGTGCCTCTATAAATAAATCATTGATGGTCTTTTGATTTTGTCTGTCAGTCTTTCTCTTTCCCGGCGTTGATTGGGGCGTTAAACCCATACCATTTCCCCATTTTATTTTTTATTTTCCGGCACTAAATGGCTATTATTGTGTCGATGTACTTCATTTTACTCAAACAAACAAACAAAGCCCGTGGGTGGATGGCGGGTGCTCTGGTGTGATTTGCTCCTTCTTTCCTATAAAAAATATATCGTCTTTATCTTCCCCTTCTTTTTTGTGTTTGATACTCTGTTGTAACAACTTTAATCTTCGGCACTTATATTATTTTGACCTTGATGTGTTGCAAGCACCGTAAAACCCCAAATAAAACTAAAACAAAGCTCTTTTGATTAACTTGGGGGCAGCCATATTAGGAGCATCACGATTCGGTGTAGGCCACGCTTGACCGGGTGAAGTGACCACAATTTCGCGCTGCTCGCCAACAACTTGTCCGATAAAAGAAATAATATCTTCTTTCCAGCGCTGCTCCGGGAAAAAAGACAACTTTCACTGAGCAAGGAAACGCGTCGTTCCAGTGTTTTTGAGAAACGATTATATAATCCAGCTCCGTGGGTGGTTGGCGGGTGCTATTTTGTGGTTTGCTCCTCTTCTTTTTATCAAATATCAAACATCTATCGACCTCAACTCTCCTCCTCCTTCTTTTCTGAGTATGTTACTCTCTTGTAACACCTCTAATTAATCTTCGGCACTTATACGACCTAATTGTTCTGCTGCAAGTGCAGTAAACAAACAAACAAACAAACAAACAAACCAGAAGACTAACCTTGTGCCCCCCTTTCTCCCCCCTCCTCAGTGGCCCCACATGTCGGCCCTGTATGACAATGTTGCCTATGAAGGGGACGACAAAGGACAAGCGACCTTGACCCACTTTGACTCTGCCTTGGATCCAGGGAACGGCTACGGCTCTGCCTACAGGTTCTACCAGAATACACAGGTACGTCGGGTGTGCGAGTACTCGATTTAGCCTCTAAGAGTGAGCTTACCAAAGATCGTACATAACAAGATAGTTCACTCTTCTCTTTGAGCCAATTAAAAAGTGTCCTCAAAATTCGGTGGCGCCGTCTTCGAAAAAGTGTTGACTTTGCGATCATAGTTACCCTACCTGTGTGAAAAACAATAATAGCGAAAATAACTAGCTGTGCTATTCCTATTTTTCTTTCCGGGGAAACGAAAGAGAGCTTCAAAACAAAGACTGCAGCGCCATCTTAACCAATGCGCAGACTTCCGCGGACACGTTTTTGGCTATATGAACAATTTTGTTACTTACGATCTTTGGTATTTCTTAAATACTCAATTACTTGGTGGGTCGAGTCCAACATTTTTGAGTACTTTCTTTTTTTCCCCTAGTTTGGGACTTTTTTTTTAAATTGTGAGGCGGCGTGGAGAAACCAGGCTCTCGTCAGAATAATCAAAGTGAAGAAACTTGCATTTTTTCGCAGATTTGTAAATTTTTATCAATTTATTTTTTTTTAAAATTTGGCTCAACACCTTTCATGCCCATTTAAGAATTCATTTCTGTGTGAATTTTTCTTACAAACGTTGATTCGAGGCATAAAAAATATAAATTTTCAGTTACCACGGACTCTTAAGCTAAGGAAGTAACTAATCTTTGGCGGCCTTTTCTCACAAATTTTACCTCTGAAAACAGGTGATCCCCACCTCCTTCACTCTCAAATATCTCGACTTGTATTTATGATAAACAGATATTTTTTTATCCAAATAAAGACAATTGAACTAGCTTTAAGATGATACCAATAACTCTATGTGCCCAAAAATTGACGAGAGCCTGATTCCACCACGCTGCCTCACATACCTTTTTGAAGTACTCATATGTTACGAGCAAGGACTGAAAAAAAACACGTTGTGGGAAGGCACTTCACCGTTGCATACAGGAGAACCGAATTCAATTACCGTTTCGGGAGCATTTTTTTTCCAGTATATCGATCAGTCTTTCTTCTTGGATATTGTATTTTCTGCCTGGGCTGTCCCTAGTGGAGGGGGTCGAAGTAGACTGGTCCTTAATAAATAATGTCGAGAGGGACGTAAAGGGGGCAGAAAAACAAAGGATCTAAGTCGCATTTTGCTACAAATTGGCCTTGGCAAGAGAGTTAAGTTGTCATTGCGACATCGTCAGGGGAGATTACATGTGAGTGAAATGACTGAGGGGCTATAAACCAAGAGTTATCGCCTTTACAAAATTCCCCAAACCCAGCACAGGGAGTTGTCAGGCATTCTGGTTTCATTTGCTCCTGCTTTTCGATCAAACATTTTGATGGTACTGTCATTATTTGTCTTTTTCCATTTATTTGTATATTACTCTCAAGCAGCGTAGCATTTCTTACCTCCGCCACATATCATAAACTAGCCTAATTGTGTTGCAAATGCCGCAAAACTCTTTTACCAAAACCAAAGCCCAAACGCTGTTAAGTTTCATGCATAAGTCTAGCTGCGTTTTGCATCTTTCTCGAAACGTCCTTAAAGTGACTTAAAAACTTTTTTTTGTTGGTTTGTTTGTTGTTGTTTTGTTTTGTTTTGTTGTGGTTTTATTGTTGTTTTGTTGTTTGTTAGTTGTTATGGTTTATTTGTTTGCTTTTGTTGGGGGGGTTTTGTTTGTTGTGATTTTTAAATATTTTTTAAATTTGGGGGTGGGGGGGTGTACCCTTTCAATTTCTATAAAGATTTTGTTTTCTGCAGCTGTCCAATAAACAGCAGGATGGGAGTGGCAGCGACAGTGACTACAGCAGCTCCAGACCACGCCACAGAGGGACGGTCAAAGTCATTGTGGCGGCCTCACTGGCTTTGTTGTTTATTGGAGTGGTTGTTGGCGCTGTTGTG